TGCCTGGGGGGGGAGTGATACCATTTAGTAGCATATTGATTTCAGCATATCGATTTTGCCCAGATAGATTAGGTAAGAGAGTGGCATTCCCTAAGAAAAAAAGCCTGTTGATATTATAGCTGATAGCACAACCTTTATTCAAGTTTCTGTGTAGTGTGCTCCCCAGAAAGAGAAGAAAACACACCTTCTCCCCCTTCTACCCATCAGTTTGTGTTGCTTTTCAGGCTGGCACCTCTTTGGTCACCCTGAGAAGTTGGTGATCTAATTTTTCCTCTCCCCAGGGGTATTTGCATTAAAAGTAACAAAAAGCACTTGAGGCCACAGCTTGACCCAGAGGCAGGGTTTGGAGTCCGATGTACCCGAGTTCCAACCCCAGGTCTGCCACTTACTAACTACGAAACATTAAACAAATGATTTAACCGCATCAGAGTCTGTTTCCTCATCTGGAAAACAGGAATAAGTACCTCCGTCCTCCTGCAGTATTGTGAAGATTAGAGATAACTGGTGTGGGCACCTCATAAATGCAGTGGTCATTATTAATATACCTTCTGCAACAGTAAATATCTGTGAATCCCTAACGTTGGCTTTTAGGCATCACACGCCTGAGAGGGGGTGATCATTTAGAGCAGAGGGGGCTTTGGGATCCCCCAAGTCACGCACGTGACAAGAACTATGGGCTGCAGCCTCCTGGGGATACTCTCCCCACCCCTGCCCTTTTGGTTGAGCATAAGTTCTTAGTCCATTGGGGCTGTTGCAACAAAGTACCATAAACTGAGTGGCTTATGGACAACAGATATTTATCTTTCACAGTTCTGGAGGCTCAAGTCCAAGATCAAGGCACCAGCAGATTCAGTGTCTGGTTAGGCCTGCTTCATCGTTTATAGACAGCTGTCTTCTCACTGTCCTCCCATGGGGAAAGGGGGCAAGGCAGCTCTCTGGGGTCTCTTTTATAAGAGCACTAATCCCATTCAAAATCCCTCCAAAGGCTCCCTGTCCTAATACCATCCTGCTGGGGGTGAGGATCTTAACATATGAGTTTGGGGGCAAGACACAGACATTCAGCCCATAGCACATGGAGTCTGTCTCCCAGGAAGCACGGGCAGCGGGTGGGGAGCTGCAGCCAGGAGCTGAGTGCCGAAGACAGGGTAAGGCACTGAGCAGAGCCCAACAGGTGTGGCCCGATGCGTGCTCACACTCACCACGCAGCCGGAGGCGTCTGAGCACAGGGGCTGATGCGGCAGGAATCAGCAGGAAGCACGCTGGATGGGGGAATCACAGGACTAATTAAATTGGCTGGGAACAGGAGATAAGTTGTTGAACTCTTCCAGGCCCTCTTGCAAATCGGGGTGTTGAACTACCCATTTTCTAGGGCTGCATGTCCCAAACTCTACGGCCACACAAATCACTGCTAAGATGTGGTGCGTCAGGGCAGGCCTGAGACCCAGCATTGCCCCCGGCTCTCTTGGGTCTGGTGCACCAGTCTGAGCATCAAGACTTTAACAACACTCTTTGCAGCTTGGAAATCCTAGTCTGTTCTAATCAGACTATTAGGAAATAGCAGGAATCAGCAGGAAGCACGCTGGATGGGGGATCACAGGACTAATTAAATTGGCTGGGAACAGGAGATAAGTTGTTGAACTCTTCCAGGCCCTCTTGCAAATCGGGGTGTTGAACTACCCATTCTCTAGGGCTGCATGTCCCAAACTCTACGGCCACACAAATCACTGCTAAGATGTGGTGCATCAGGGCAGGCCTGAGACCCAGCATTGCCCCCGGCTCTCTTGGGTCTGGTGCACCAGTCTGAGCATCAAGGCTTTAACAACACTCTTTGCAGCTTGGAAATCCTAGTCTGTTCTAATCAGACTATTAGGAAATCAGATTCCACAGACACTCAGAACTAAAATGGGTCAATAGGTGGAAGCCAAGTGTTCCTCCTGTGGAGAAATGCCTGGTTGGGGAAGAAGGGATTCTGATTTTTCACGTCCTCCCCAGGGATGCCAACTGCTTGAGGCACTGGCTCTGCTTTGCTGAGTAAGGCCAGCTCTCACTGGGGAAGGGAGCAGCTGCACCAGGCAGGGTGTTTATAGGGGGTGATGAAGATGCATTATTTAACCCATGTGAGAGGAGAGGAACACTTTACACATGGGAAAAATGATTCAGGCCCAAGCACAATCTGGCTTGAACACAAGGGCTCTGCTTCGTCCTTTCTACCTGCTCCTGGTGGACAAATCACAGCCCTGGGTCTCTGCGCACAGCCGAGCAGGTCCCCATGGTGATCAGCAGAGGGCACTGGTGACCCACACATGGTGTCTTAGCCTGTGTGAAAAGGGCTGGAATTTCTGTCCAGGCCAGCTTGCGAAAGCACCTGCTGCTTCCCTGTGGATACATGCAGGGATGTGGGGACACATGCCCATCAACCACACATACTCATGGGCCTGTGCATGGATGTGTGGGTATCACTACAATCAAGCAAAGGCGACAGGCAGGTGTTTTTGGTCAGGTTTAGATTTTTTGAATCCTAATTTTTCCTCCTAAAACAGGCCACACAGGTCAGATCTGCAGATCCAGAAACCTGGCAAAGGCCTTAAGTTCAGACAGACTTTCCCTCTTTTGAGAGTCCCTTGACCAGTACTGCAATTTCTGCTCATCAGCATTGACCCCAAACCATATTTCTTTTTTTTATTTATTTTTTATTTTTAAATTTTTTAAAAAAGATGACCGGTAAGGGGATCTCAACCCTTGGCTTGGTGTTGTCAGCACCACGCTCAGCCAGTGAGCAAACCGGCCATCCCTATATAGGATCTGAACCGTGGCCTTGGTGTTATCAGCACCACACTCTACCGAGTGAGCCACGGGCCGGCCTCCAAACCATATTTCTGATCCATGCCTCCAAGCAGCCTGGAATTAACGACCAAGGTGTAAGGACATCTTTTGACAGAACTCTGAACCACTTTCAGATGGCTGATTAGGAAAAAACTCTGAAGTCTCTAATGGAGTGATTCAGAGGCCTTCAGGGTCAGAACACGAGGAACAGAGGCCCGGAATCTGAGAACAACAATCTGAGACAGTCTTTGAACCATCTTCTGAGAAAGTCTGCTTCCTGCCAAATCTGTCTTTGGGAGGTAAAAGCTACTTAAGTTCTTACAATGTCCCTGCCCCTTCATCTGTCACACTGGCCAATTATGCAATGTGGTTCTGAGAATTGAGATTCCTTAGAACTTAAGGCCTGTTTTGTCACATTTTTCCCTCTCTCTTCTTAAAACTAGTTTAAAACTTGATAAAGATGATGTGATGCTGTTTCTAGGAATCAATAGGCCTTGATCTCAAAAGTTTGTTTGTTTAAGAATGAATTCTTATCCTGATGGTAGAGCTGATTTAAAGGTTTCTTTCATATGCCTTACCATGGAACTTTCCAGCATGTCAAGTGTTGAGGAGGATGGACAGGTACCAGACGGGCTAGCCAGAACAGCTGCCTTTTATTGTGCAAAGGCCTTGTGATTTGATTTGATTTTTTTAGAAGTAGTTTATTAAGGGCTGACCCCGTGGCTCACTTGGGAGAGTGCGGCACTGGGAGTGCTGAGGCCACGGGTTCGGATCCTATATAGGGATGGCTGGTGCGCTCACAGGCTGAGCACGGTGCAGGTGACACTACACCGAGGGTTGGGATCCCCTTACTGGTCACAAAAAAAAAAAAAAAAAAAAAAAGTAGTTTATTAACAAACTCTGGCAATAAATTTGTAATACATTTTAATTTAATGTACTAATATGAAGTAGAGGCTTAAGGCCTGGCTGGTTAGCTCAGGTGATTAGAGCGTGGAGTTATAACACCAAGGTCAAGGGTCCAGATCCCCATACTGACCAGCCACAAAAAAAAAAAAGAAAAAAGAAAAAAAGGTAGGAACTTAAGAAATTTTTATGGAATGGATATCTATACATTTAAGGTAAATTTCTATCTTGACAGAATCAAAAACATCCCTAGTCTGAAGACGTTGTAGCAGGCTGTCACCTTTTGCAGTGTGGAGAGCATGTGTGTGATCACAGGTATCTGTCTTCAGATTTTCCTCATGAGTACACATTTCTGTAAAAACTAATACGGAAGCACCATAAAAGAAAGGAGTACTTCCCTAACCTTCCTGGCCCTACTGCTTGATTTCCCTTGGGTCTCATTTCTTGTGTGCCTCAGGCATGGGAGCAACTGCTAATTTTCATAGTTGATGCTAAAATAGATAATACGTTCTAGAAAGCAATTTAGGTTCCCTACTTGCAGTGGTACATGACTGCCTGCTTTTTACAGATTTCCTGTTGAGAACAAAGATGCACTTTTTCTAGAACAAGGACGCTGCTGGATTACACTTAAGGGATGTTCAGTAAATATTATTTTATGGTGTTGTAGGAAGGAAAGAAGCTTTGTGATGAAAATGGACTTCACCGTAGTGAGCCACGACGGAACGACTTTGTAACACGGCTCTTTCTTGGGCAGCTTCAACATACCATGCACAAAAGATTCATGGTCCTGAAATGCAACTGATGCAAACCCAGTGCACTCAGTAAATCGGCTACTTTAAATCTTTTCAGGAACAAGATGGATCGTGGACAGTCTAGGCCGGTGACACTACTATCCCAGCCTCTTGATACTGGCATGACTTCAGCACACTATTAGGTCTCATGGGCAACCACTCAGGGCAACAAAACTGAGTCTCAATTGCATTTCAAATATAATTACAAAAACATGTGCCTTCATGAAAACAAAACAAAAAAACCTAACTAGTCACACCAAAGGGCATGCAAGATCGAAACGCGGTGACTTCACAAATTGAGGCCCAGTGTAAGAAGCTGTAAAGGAAGAGACAGCTGTTTGGTCCTCCTACTCCCCGACATACAAACAGACATTCTTTGGGCAGAATGTCTTGATATAAACAGTACTTTTAATAGCTAGTTTTGAAACTTCACATGCACTGGAGGAGGAAACCTAGAGAAGGGTCTGAAGGAAGCTAAATTACCTTTCTAGGCACTGCTCTCCCCAAGGCAACCCCAGGGGTGGAACAGAAGAGGCCGATGTTCACCCCAGGAGTGGCAAAAGAGGACTTGTCACTCGCCACGGCAATGTCACAGCTGGCAACCAGCTGACAACCGGCAGCTGTGGCCAAGCCATTGACCATGGCAATGACTGGGACGGGATGGTTCCGGATCAGCATCATGACCTGCAGGAGCAAACACAGCATGTCACTTCCATCCACAGTGAGGTACCACATGCATACCTATTATTTTATATGACTTTATGAGTTGACTGTTTTCAGAGCACTTTCGTATGCATTAATTTGGGAGATTTTATGGAGGAAAAAAGGGGGAAAGAAGATACCAAAAGCACTAACCTGAACCAAATATCTACTCTGAACCAGACTGTATAGTTTTGTTTTCAAGAGAACCCCATGAGGAAGGAACCCTATTTTGCAACAAGGACACTAAGTGCAGAGGGGGTGGATTGTTCAGTTTTCTTTCTTTCTTTTTTTTTTGTGACCGGTAAGGGGATCGTAACCCTTGGCTTGGTGTCGCCCCCACCACGCTCAGCCAGTGAGCGCACCGGCCATCCCTATATAGGATCTGAACCTGCGGCCTCGGCGCTCCCAGCGCCACACTCTCCCGAGTGAGCCACGGGGCTGGCCCTGATTATTCAGTTTTCTGTTTTTATTTAAGACTATGGAATCATACTTTATAGTAGTGGTTTTTGACTTTTTTGGGGGGGGCTCACCTTTTGAGAATCTGATGAATTCTAACGACCCTCTCCCCAGAAGAATGCCTGTATATATACCTGTACACAAAACTGTTCATGGATTTAGGGGATTCATGCACTCTAAAGTGAAGTGGGGGATGGGTTAGTGATAGAGCTCATTCCCAGGAAGCTGCAATAACAAGGGGAAGAACTCACAAGAACTCCTAAAGTCTTGCTGCAAAGGAAGAAAAAATTTAGTTCCATGTGTTGTCCTGTCGCTCTCTGAACTGAAGTTGCTTATGAGAAGTCAATTGACTGGGATTAAAGTTGAACAGTCTACATGTCCCCTCTGCCATCTATGAAGGGCTAGGATTTCATAAGAAACAAAAGAAAATACTCAGGTAACACAGTATATGTCAGACAACATTAAAAATGCTTATCCCTAGGAATTCTACTTCTAACATTGCCTCCTCCCTCCTCCTCCCACCCTATTTTCCACTCCCTTTTCCCTCCCAACTGCCTTGCAACATCTTAGAATTTAAAAAAATAATATTTCTAAATAATTTTTTTTAAAAAGAAAGAATCTGAAATAGATAAAAAGCTCTATGGTCAGAGATGCTTACCAAATCATTATTTTATAATAGTAAAAAATTATAAATAATACAAATATACAAAAATAAATAAATGGCAATGTAAACTAAATTACATCCATTTAATAGAATGCTGTATTTTCATTAAAATAAAAATTTCCAAGAGAAATACCAGCATGGTGGTCTGGAGCTTATGTAGTGGTCTGGAGCCAGGCTGCTAGAGTTTTATACCCAGTCTGTTAATAGCTTGCTGACTAAACCTAGACAAGTCACTTAACCCCTCAGCTTTCACATCTGTAAAATGGGCATAATAATAGCACCAACCTTACAAAACATGACAATTGCATAAATTAATATGTCTAGAGTACTTAGAATATTACCTGGTACACAGTAAGCATTCAATGCTATAGTCATTATTTTATAATTATATACTCTAAACACTCATATATGATTATTTAGACAAAAAATAGGTACACATGGAAAAATGATTAAAAAGAAATATAGCAGGGCCTGCCCCTGGCTCACTTGAGAGAGTGCGGTGCTGATAACACCAAGGCCATGGGTTCGGATCCCATATAGGCATGGCCGGTTTGCTCACTGGGTGAGCGTGGTGCTGACAACACCAAGTCAAGGGTTAAGATCCCCTTACCGGTTATCTTTAAAAAAAAAAGAAAGAAATATAGCAAAATATTTATTCTGGTTCTCTCTGGGTGGTGTGATTATGGTATGGTATTAATTATTTTTCTTCCTTTCGTTTTTCTAGATTTTCAAAACTTCCAAATAAATTCACACACACACACACACACACACACAAAATGGGCGGGGGGGGAAGAAGACATAACAACTACAATTCCTTGAAGTTGATATGACAAGCAAACAGAAAGGACATTGTTGGGAGGGAGGGGGAGCGGGAGGAGGGAGGTTTTGGTAATGGGTCGCAATAATCAACCATATTGTATATAGACAAAATAAAATTAGAAAAAAAAAACTTCCTATAATAAATACTTATTACTTTCATAAATAAAAGATATTTTAAATAAAGTTAGACAGCAGTTCAGAAAAGACAAAGTGAACTTAGATAATAAACAAGCTAGGATAATCAAACCCTTGATATTCAAGAACTCATTATATTTCCTATTTGACTTTCCTGAATTAAGTACTGTTTTGGGTTCTGCCTACTCCAAAATGTGACCTAAGTTTAACTCTGCCCTTGACTCATTAAACAGCATGACTGAGGGTTCCTAGTTATTTCCAAAAGCGAGAAAACTTGTCCCGTTGTCATTTCATTGGTGGGGTGTAAGAAGAAAGAGAAGGATCTTCTCCTGGACTAGGGTTTCCATGTCCAGACTTCAACAGCATATGAGAGAGAGACAAGGGACAAGCCTCTGGCGTAAGCCACCAAGTCAGCAACGCAGAAGGTCAACTTCGTCTTCCATAACCAAGTTCTTCTCATTCTTAATTTGCCCTCCTGTTGGTTTGTAAATAATTAACTATCATGTAGTACTTGTGGTCTGTAGCAAACCTGCCATAGTTTTTAGACGCTGAGCTAATTCAGATATTTCTATTTTCCTTTCTAAAATCAAATTTTCTCATGCATGAACTGAACAATGAAATATCTAGCTCATTCTGTTCCAATCTGCCTATTGATTACACTTGGAAATTGAGATCTTGCACAAGTTCATGGTGCTCATATTTATCCAAGACAATTTGATTTTCTTAGAATAGTATTAAAGAAATCAATACAGTTTCATTCCTATTTTACTACATCAGGACTAGGTCCTGTTTATGCACTGAGTCTTTATCAGTGAGCCAGAGGCATTATCTGTGGGTTGGAAGCTTCCAAGAAATCTGGCCTTTATCCTCTGAAGAAGCCCTGGCTCCCCTGTGGCCCTTTGGTAACCTGTTCAGATCTGAGTTCATGAAGTTTCCACAGCACAGTGATAAAAGCAGACACTTTAGGGAGGATAGGAGGGCTCTATTGATTCTCTTTGATGCTTTTCTATTTTAGCAAAACATACTGGGTATTAGTAGAAAAAACATATAAAGCACCAAGCCTTGGCAAATGCAAGAACAGAATGTTACATAAACATCATTAATACAGGAAACAAAAGACATAGGTCTCATCTCTAGCTTGTTTCCAACTCCCCATGAAGCTTCAAGTAAATCGCTCTTCCTGCTTGTCTTTCCATAAAATGAGAAAAATATAACCTGATCTCCTTACGGCTTTCTAGAAGGGCAAGGAAAACAAATGACCATCAGGAGTGTACCTCCATCACCTCCCCATTCACTTTCCTGTGGCTCACCTGTCTTGTCTGCATAGTAGGTATTCAAAATGTTTTGAATCGTCAGTAACCAAATAAGTGAATGAGTAAATCAATGAATGAATGAAAAATCAGAGTAAGTAATCTCGGGGTCAGGTTATATTTTTGAATCATCAATAACCAAATAAATGAATGAGTAAATCAATGAATGAATGAAAAATCAGAGTAAGTAATCTCGGGGTCAGGTTATAAAACTGTTTTATAATAAATGTCTTGTTTCCCAACCAGATTTCCAGTTTCAGTCTGGCAGGAAACATTTGTTTTTCTTATATTTCCCTCAATACCTTGCAAGTATTATGCTTCTAATAGGTGCTCAGTAAATATTCATTAAATGACCCATGTGTTACTTGAAGCTGGATTCTATATTCAATTTTTTTATTACCCAGGGGTTGATTTGATGTGTTCATAAATCATCCAGAATTTTTTGTACCTCTTCTTCCTCTGTGGCTATGGACAATTTTCCTCCTTAATATGGTTAAAAAGGCAGAAAAGTAAAAATAGAGAAGTTCATTTTCCTACTTGGAGGTGGTGATTATAAAGGTTGGTTTGAAAGAAGGGTTTGAAAACCATTACTGTTATTCCGTTAATAAATGTTCCCTCTTTCTCATTAACAGAGTTGTTTTAGTTTAATAATTTTAAAAATTATCATAATCTTAGGTACTTTTTCTCTAAAGATGTATGTTCCCACCTTTTACCCCTTACTCAAAACTTGTACCCCAAGACATGTCCCCACAATGCTGGAGATGACAACTATGAGAACCATCGTATATTTTATTTTTTTTGGCACATAACAGAATCAATAGCAAATTATGGTCTCCAAAGTCTAAACCAAATAATTGCATGGATGAAGGATTCACCAATGGCCACATTTTTCAGTAGGTTTGTGGTGGTTAAGTCTCATAGATAAGATCTTGTCTGTAAATTAGAATGCTAATTCTGGTTTAATATATAAAATTTCATATTATGATCGTTTTCAGGTTTGCACTGCTGACCATCATCCTGGCTTACCTCAGAACAGGTTTGAAATATTTCAGCATGATAATCACGTCCTTGCTCCTCTGTCAGTTCCTTTAAATCATGCCCAGAAGAAAACACTGGCCCCTCAGCTGCAAATATTTCCAATTGAGAAAAGAAAAGAAAAAGATGTAAACAGCCAGAGGTGGGCAGTTTGCTTATTTGTCTACTGAGCAACTTTAGCAAATAATTGCAGCCATGCTTTGGACACTGAGAGAAAGAATGACCCAATTTTGATGAGAATAATTCCCATTCGCTTAAAAAGTTATGGCCAGAATTTTGTGATGAACATGCAAGGTCAGGCCTCTGTCTCCTAAAAGTCCGTTGTGGAAACCCATGAAAACATGCAATCATACAAGGTTAAGGCTCAGTAACCAAGGTCAAGGTACTTTTTACAGAGCTGTCCCTCTGGTCTCACACTTTTGTTTTGGACTTGGTCTGTCTTCAGAGAATTGACTCATACAGGTCCACTGGAACCCACCATGCCTTGGGCAGTGTCCATGTCATTTAGTCTACAGGTGACAGCCGTCCAGAGGGGTAGAATTGGGAAGGACAGAGTGTGAAGAGAACTTGGTTCAAGCTCTTTATTGTCATTGTCATCACAACAACAATAAAATGTCATTCCACCGAGGATGTGATAACACTCTTATGTCTCCCTTTCGTTGCGGTTATTTTGATAGGCAATATTACCGTCTTTTTGCAAGTGAGGAAATGGTGTAGTTAAGAAGTTAGCTGCCTTTGCTATATATCCAGGTGGATGCTGAACTCTGAGTTCTAGTTTCTTTTCGACAAAAAGGAAAAAAAAAAAAAAAGTTATGGCCAGAATTTTGTGATGAACATGCAAGGTCAGGCCTCTGTCTCCTAAAAGTCCATTGTGGAAACCCATGAAAACATGCAATCATACAAGGTTAAGGCTCAGTAACCAAGGTCAAGGTACTTTTTACAGAGCTGTCCCTCTGGTCTCACACTTTTGTTTTGGACTTGGTCTGTCTTCAGAGAATTGACTCATACAGGTCCACTGGAACCCACCATGCCTTGGGCAGTGTCCATGTCATTTAGTCTACAGGTGACAGCCATCCAGAGGGGTAGAATTGGGAAGGACAGATTGTGAAGAGAACTTGGTTCAAGCTCTTTATTGTCATTGTCATCACAACAACAATAAAATGTCATTCCACCGAGGATGTGATAACACTCTTATGTCTCCCTTTCGTTGTGGTTATTTTGATAGGCAATATTACCATCTTTTTGCAAGTGAGGAAATGGTGTAGTTAAGTTAGCTGCCTTTGCTATATATCCAGGTGGATGCTGAACTCTGAGTTCTAGTTTCTTTTCCCTTCACCATATAATACAGATGAAAATGTATGTTTAACCCTTGATAAGAAGATAACATTCTGAGTACGTGCCTCCTGAAACAATGACTCTTAATTTATAAAACAAAGCATCACAGAATACCATTTGTTATATTTTTCTGTGGATGCCTGAAAATGCTGACATTGCTATTATTTACACCACCACTATCATCCCAAGAAAAGATAATTCTGTAAAAATTCTTATTGGGAAAAAAAGCAAGGACAGAAACGGGCAAAAAATGTCATGTTCTCTGGCACCATTAAACAATACACTGCAGATATCAGTTTAGAAGCTTGGTGAGAACAAAAAAGACAAACCAATCAAACTCCCTAAAAGCCAGGTCTTAGCTGACTACGCAATCTACCAAAAGGATTAATGACTAAACCCATTTTATAAAGTCCATGAAGAAATCAATTCTGATTTTGATGCGAAGATCAGCATAGCCAAGTGTGGCAATGTTTAGAATTTGATAAAAAGGAAAAGACATATTTTCAGTGAAAAATAATCCTTGCTATAATTTCTGCAGGTAACAGCGTTAGGACCAAGTCCCCAACTACACAGGAGTTTTCCATAATTAAGGTTCCTGTAAAGGAGCTTCAAAATGACTCTCCAGTTAAGTGAGCAAATGTCCCAATTAACCGAAGAATTTCAAGAAATCTCTTCTGGGCATTGCAGAACACTAAGGACAGATATCGGCTAAATACCTGAGATTATAATGACTTTCAGATCTTTGCTTTCAGCTTCATGGAGAATGTCACTTTGGAGCGATTTCAGCATTGCAAGTGACAGCGCATTCCTCTTCTTCGGATTGCTCAAGACAATGTTCCTGCGAAGAACATTTTATAGTCATTGGGTCACACACCAGTCAAAATAAGTAAGGACCCCTGCAATTCCTTTCTAATTTGGGAGCTATCTTAAAAACACAAGAGCAGACAACTGCTGGTGCTTAGGGCCAATTTTGAGGGTCTGTCAACTCTCTAGAGTTACAGCTAAGTCAAAACAAGAAAAAGATAATCTGAAGTGCCGGCTGGTTTTTCCTCCCTCTTCCCTTGATTTGTTTCTCTTTTGCTCCTCATTTGCTGTCAGAAACATGACTGCCACCTCCACGGAAGGGGTGAGTCATAGCAGTTCCAAAATCATCACCACCCATTCAGAGAGAATGTAAGGTTTGTATGACAGCGACAGGAACCAGAGGAAGCTGACAAATGGTGGCTACCTGCAACTTATTTCTTCCTGTTGTTCTTTGGAATAAGGTTAGAAATGGAGCAGAGAATGAAAATCCACCCCCAGATCTCCTCCTACCCACTCCAAAGAAAAGGGAGCTGAGGTACAGCTGCAATTACACATACACAACAGCATTTTTTCATGTTTTATAGTGGCGTCCTGTAATTCTGCAAAATAATTTGCACTGTCTGAGAAAGGGATGATATATAAAGAAAACAGGACAAAACCATACAGGAAGAGGGCTCTGCTGGACATACTGTCGCACCAAAAAGCTGGTATTCAAAGGGACTGTTCACTATTTTAAGATATTCCACACACTGAATACAATAACCTGTACTGGCACCTTACTGCCACTATACGGAAATGTCTTACTTTTGCTGTTATAAGAAATGGACAAGTCAAATGCCAGATTATTCTTACATATTTTATATCTGTTTCCTATCAGTCTTTATCCACATGATTTCTGCCTTTCTCATTCTTTTATGAATCTGATATTCCCACTGCTATGTAGTCAACTTGCACCCTCCATAAATAGCATGTTGTGCCATTGTTTTCTGGAAAACAACTTTGATGACTGAACATATTCCAATGCAGTAAGAATAACCATTTTTTGGAATACCATTTCCATTTTGCTGCGGTCTTCAGGTGGCTGTGATGTTCCTTGTTTTGTTTCTCATAAACATGTTCTCACATAAGTACAAAAATTACTTACAGCTAATATGCTGATAGACTTTGAAGCCTATATATGGGGGTTGCTGGTGATGGTGAGAGAATGGCTTATAAACCTTTCGGGCCAGCCGCGTGGCTCACTCGGGAGAGTGCAGCGCTGGTAGTGCCGAGGCTGCGGGTTTGGATCCTACATAGGGATGGCCGGTGCACTCACTGGCTGAGCGCGGTGCAGACCACACTGTGCTGACGGTTGCGATCCCCTTACCAGTCAAAAAAAAAAAAACAAACAAACAAAAAAATAAATAAAAATAAACCTCTCAATAAAATAATGAGTGTGTTTGCTGTAGCAAATACAAAAGGCTGCCATCCCATCAGTGACATATGCTTAAATTAAATTCTAAGGCCTTTGGCAAAATTGTGTAAAAAGATTCCAGCCCCAGACACCCTTGCCTCACAGCAGTACCTGCTCATAGGTGTCCCATTAACCCTTCTGCTCACATATCCGAAGAGGAAAGAATGAGGTTGCCACCAGGTCATGTGATAAAAACATAGAGTAAAGGCAAGAGATCGTCCCTTTAAATGTCCCGATGAGCTGTCTGAAGATCATCATTGCAAACCACGAGAAGGCCTGTGAAGTGAGGGACTGTCATGTTCACACACAGAGGAGACACTCAGTAAATATCTGTTGACTGAATTAATGACAAAAGGTAGCATTTATAATTTTTCACAGTCAACTCTGCTGACTGTGGTGGTCTGACATCACATCCAGTTTCTTTGCCGTCTCTTTTAAACCCGAGTGGTGAGCAGTGCGAGATGGCACAGCGGAGTGGAAATGAGGAGGCAGAGGGACCTGTCTCTGACTCCTGGCGGTTCTGCCTGCTGGGTGTGTGGCCTTGAGCAGGCTGTTGACTCTGTGAACATGTTTCCTCACTGTAAAGCAGGGATAGTATTTACTTACCTTGCAGGCCACTGTAAGAATGGAGAACTATGATTGCAAAGTGTATAGCACAGTCCTTGATTCAAAGCTGGCCCTCGTGAAATGACAGCATTACTGCTGGGAGGAACAGCTTGCCCAAGCTCACCTGCTTAGTGGCTACCATGGTACTACTTTACTGCTTGGGTGGGGGGTTTCCTACTGCTGCCAAATGATTCCTAGCATTTATGATAGATCATTCCAATCATCTTTTCTGATTTATGTTTAATTCTGGAAAACTCAACTGGCCTTCTTCTGGCTGCCATGCTGGGTGGGGTGTCTGCAGACCTGTATGCCAAGCACCTTGCAGAATAGAAGGAAGGCAGGGTGGAGTGGTGAGGGGGGATGAGAGGAGGGGGGAAGAAAAGGAAAAAGCTGCAGGCCTTGGGCTGGCTCTCTACTCCTTTTGGGGAACACCTAGGAGTCTGAGGACTGTACATTCAAACAAGGCCTTCTAGGTCTCAGGAAGGTACACTTGTCCGGGTAGGAGAAGAAACATTCCGTTCAGCAGTTAGCTTGATCTGTAACTCAAATGCTGAAACACAGTATACAGGCCTCCTTTTGTACTTCTGTCCTGGCCAGGCAAACATTAGGGTCAGGCCAAGCTGGGACCAGGAGCTCTCCAATCTTTATTACTGCATCATCCGGGTTCCAGTTGGTGCACAGGTGTGTTTTTAAAGGTTTTAGGTTTGTTGCGCAAAAGGGCAGAGCTCAGGACGGTGTCTTTTAGCTTATTTACTGACCTGTCCCCACCCCTGCACTTTTGGGTGAGGGCCAAGGAGCAGCTCGGCCAAGCCTACCTTGGAGCCAGGGGCACAGAGACCTCGAAGGCCACATCAGCGGTGGGCGCACCTGCAGGGCTGCCTACAGGCGGTCCAAAGTCCAATAACTACTCAGGTCGCTTGCTCTGAGGGTTCAGGGAGAGTGCTGGGCCCTGCAAGGCAGTCCCACCCACAGTCCTCCCGCTGCTACCTCGTCCAGGCGAGGGACATCTGTGAACCCGGTATGCGGGGACGGCTTCCCCAAAGAGATGAAGCGGCCAGATTGGGCAGTGACGGCGAGGACCGACCTGACCGCCAACCCAGCCCTCGGCGGACTCAGCGGGGGCCGGGGGGCGGGCCGGGCGCGTGGCCGGCCTCCGCTGCCCGACGCCCCGGGTTCCGCCCCAGCC